TTGATACTCTTAAGTTGACCATCTGTAGTTTGCACAACAATATCTCGACCTCTAATGTTTTCTGATCCTTCACCACCTACTATGATTGCAGCAACCTGAGATGCAGATGGTAAACAATATTGTCGTTGATTCGCGGGCTGCTCTTTGATAATCAATCTACAACTTTGCAAATCTTGACGTTGCGCAAGGTGGTGAAATGTTTGCACAAATGGATTATATTGATTCAAGATTTGTTGGATTTTTTCAACCACACCTCTGTTTAGTGCTTCACTTTCTCTCATTCGATTGTCTATTTCATGAGCTGTGTCATATATATACATTTGTAGGAATCTCGGTCTACTATCTCTAATAGGCAAAAGACTTCCAATCTTATGATATATGGAACCTTGAGCACGAAATGTGTAAATACCACGTCTTCCAGTTGCTAGGTTTTCGTCAACATGAACTCCCATTGAAGTGAAGGCAAAAATGTGGTTGTAAGCTCGTATATTCTGCCTAAAATGTCTTCCCTCGGCAGATTGGTTGCAAAAAAGCTCAGTCATTTCAGGAGGGGACGGTGCCAATGGTAGAGCAAGCTTTCCACGTAAGCAACACATTTCAGATGTTTCATGAGAGAACAAACGGGCATGACAATCTGGACATGTGGTTGGATTTGGCATGTGAAATCTTGGGATTTCCATGTTTTCATTAAAGTTTCTAGCACAATTATGAATTGGCCTTCTTCCCATAGTATGATGTCGAGGTGGTACGTCCTCGTTAGGCTGGATCTCATTTTCATTAATGAGATTAAAAGCATCTGCTTAAAAAGGAAACATTAAAGGTGTTTCATGATTTAGAGAGCATAGTTGAAATTGTAGGTATTAATATTCAAAAGCTAATACCTTCATTGATGATGGGCAGATAACAATGACTCATTGGAGTATTCGAACTGAACGATTGCGCTGTTGTATTTTCTGTTATAATCAAATGAAATGGAAGTAAGGTAATAAGTAGTGTTTACAGAAATGATGATATTGATGTTTATCTTTTTCAAAGTTGTACTATGGTAGTTTGTGCGATTACCATTATTAGTGAAACTTTGTATTAGTCCATCCCGAGGCAAGCGTGTCCTATTCGATCGGGCAATTTGCCTTATATGAGTTAAGCGCATTGTTCTTGGAACTTGATTGCTGCTGCCTTCTCCAAACAGCACTATGTTTAGTCGTTCAACATGATTGCTACTGCCTTCATCGAATTGCACTATGTTAGGGTGTTGAACTTGATCGGCATCACCACCAAATAGCATTATGTTTGAGCGTTGAATTTGTTGAACACGATAATTGGATCGTCGCCGTGCTAAATATTCATGTCTTTGGCTTGAACTCATTGAATTCCGCCTCATACGTTGTTGATCCCGCCATTGCTCTCGTTGGCTTTGTGTCTCATCAGTAACATATGCATTTTGTTGCTCTAAACCAAGAAACGTAATGGTGCACGAAAAATATTAGTAAGCATAGAATATTATTTAAGTACCTACATACGTCTTTTTTTTTCCTTTTGTTTTTGTAATTGAATCATTGGTATACATTACGTTTTTTTTTTATTTTCGTTTGATTGAGACTGCCTAGGTCACATAATAAGTGGCAGAGGAAGAAGAAAACAAAGAAAAAGTGAATGTTTTGTATTTTGAGCTATTTTCTCTTTAAATTCTGCAGATTTTAGTGATCAGAAAAGCAAAAACTATGGATTGTTTTGGATGCCAGACCTTGGATGAATAGTATTGTTTATTTTAATTGATCACAGAAAAGAAAAACTCATTTTTTTTGGATGAGAGTGGTTTTCTTCTTGCTGTTTTCGGATGAAAATGAATGCAACGCCAATATCTCTGAATCTAGGGTTTACTAAAATTTAGTGAATTTCATGCGCTGAATCATTGATTTATGATTTCATTTCTCTGATTTGGGTTGTGCTTTTTGCTTCCTTTGATTTTGCATCTGTATAATTATGTGCTGCATGTTTTTGTTTAACTTCACAATTTTTTCCATTTAGTATCGATGTACTATATCTTTATGTGATGTTATTTTTATATTTTTCTCTTGACTATTATAGTTGAACTGTTATTCCAAGTTTACATAATATTCCTTTCCTTATTTGTTTATTTTTATTTATTTTTTTAATTTTTATTTATTTATTTATTTTTCTTGTTTGGAGTACTTGTTAAAACGTTGGTCACTATGGTAAATATATACAATCCAAATGTTGAAATTATTATAGACATAACAGAATTATTAAATGGATGTTTGCATTGATAGTACAAAAAGGCAATGACAACTTAGAATCACTGATTTGTTCAATCTTATTATATTTGTCTTAATAATTTGTCTTAATAATTTGTACAAAAATGTTAATACAACATACGAATTGAATAGAGACAAAAAAATAAGAAATCATAGTTACCCGCAGATGTCGGTCCTATGTTTTCTTGGTTTACTTCTGTTTGATTTTGGACTATATTGATTGAGTTCAAGCAGGTTTGATAATTGGCACGTCGTCGTATTGAAATTCGAGCCCGCTGTGATGAATTCATAGATTGTCGTCTTTGTCTTTGTTGATTGCTCCTATGATTTTGCCTTTGTTGATTACTCCTACGATACCTTGGGTCTGACTGTTGAAAATTGTGAACATTTGTTTGTCCAAAGTCAACTTCTTCATTGCCAACCTACATTGAGAAATTGCTAAACAGAATGAATTTTATTTTATTTTATTTTATTTTTGAAAAAGAAGAAAAAATATATCATCTGTACAAAAGAGGAATAATGCAGATAAGGTAACAACCTCTGACATATCGCTTCTATCAATTCCCTCCATACTTGATATGTTGTAGTCCTCCAAAAATCTTAAAACTGAAATTTCAATTTGATGATTCTTAATAAAGGTAAAATTGAAGAAAAATATGAAAACATAAAAAAAAAAAAAAATTAAGCTTACATCCATTATATATAGTTGAACCATAAATCATAAGGCAAAGGGAAAATACCCTTTATCTCTCTCTCTCTCTCTCTCTCTCTCTCTCTCTCTCTCTCTCTCTCTCTCTCTCTCTCTCCTCGTTTTTAAAAGGCCATCGGCTGCATTGCCTTCCTGAGGGCCTAATGGATGACCATTCTTGTCATCCTTTTCTATTTCATCTCTGGCAGGGAAAGTAGCCTATTCTGTTTTGGACGTACATGTTTAATATTGATCACGATGATGTTGAAATAACTCAAGTACGAAAAATGTAAAGTCTTATCTCATGTGAAGATTAATTAGAGTTTTGTTCTAAAGTAGGCATAAAAAGGTGATGCCTTTGACAACATTCAAAGTAAATATTAAGCAGGTTGTGCGATTGTCTACCATCTAACAAATTAAGAGTGAAATGAAGGAAGTACCTTAGTAATGCAGTAATTCTGTTTGTATCTCTGTTTAAATGCTCCACTAATTCAATGCACCAAAGCCTATTTAACCAAAAAGAAATGAGCAGAATGTAGATAGGGAATTGATATTAGTAATGCAAACCACCCACTACCGATTAATAGTCCATGTTTGTAATCCTTATTTAAGCTTGACAGGACCAAAACAAATGAGTTTGAGATTTGAGTATAAAAGATTAAGATTGAGAGTTGAAATGTTGTACCGAGCAAGACTCTTTCTCGACCTGACATTATGCTGTTGTAACAATTATGCCAGTAGAAAGCAAACAGCAAGAGAAGGATATACCTACCACTGGAGATAACTTTTATTTGAAAACACCTCTTGGACCCGCTCTCACCCGAATGTATTTCTGGCATATCGAAAACAACAGAAAAGAACATTCCTATTAATTTCACTACCTGTGATAATAAAAAATGAAACAGATAACAAATTTTATACCAAATGTTGGTCTACAGAAGCACCACATATTACTGATGATTATTCTTAGGGGTGGATCATTTAAACATATTTGAACGATCATCCAAATATTGGTTGGATGATCGAAAATTTTACCTCTGGAGGGATACTTGGATATGCATTAAGTTTGATAAGCATCAGTTCACGTTCTACTTGTGGCTCCCTTGAGAAGTCTTCAACCTGATAAAGCAGAATTATAAGTGAAGATAATGCAGAAACTACCAAAAGGTTTTACACGAAATACTAAAGACATCCACTAATTATAAACAAACCACCGAAATTAGGACTTAAATTTAAACACAATCAAAGCTAAAAGGAATATCAAAGTTTATTCAAACTTAAAAAATAGAATGAAAACATATACTTAAAATTTGATGTTAACAAATCCCTAATTTTAGATCACTTACCTTTAGTGCAAAAATCCTTGAAACAGAAATGGAAAGATGACGAAACGTGAAAGCACAATACTTCGAAACCCTTTTTTTCACAACTTGCAGAGTTGAAATTTTTCAAACACCTGCATTTGTCAAAGGAATTGATCACATTATATCCACTGGAAAAATTTGTTTTTCAGAGACTATATAAACTTTTGTTTTTTAATAGCTCTAAAGTAAATTAGTCACACACAAACGATAAATAAATTAGGCCAACACTATTAGTAACCCAAAAAAATTGCAGAAAAATCTACAAAATAGCAAGACATGAGAAATATCTGTGCATAAGAGAGAGTGAGTGTTTAACATATATCATATACCCATGGTGAAACACAAATGGAAAGTTTTCCTTTCAGTTTTGCAGCTATTCTCCCGGTTGGCCTTGGCCTCAATGAATCGTGACATTAAAAGTGGACCATAGCTTGGTTTTCTTATGAGCTACATGACGGACACAGATTAACACGTCATGACACAACTTAATGATCTAACCGATCCTACACTTTCTTGCAGAATGCCAGGCAGCAAGATTCAATAGATTAATGTTATTATATTCAATACCGCAAACCAAATTGTAAAGTGAACTCTAAAAAGTAAGGCCTATGTTAGACATTTGTATTATATAGCAACTTCATTTCCATCACAGAGTACACATCATTGAACAAACTAAGAAGATACATGTTGTAAATCCAGAAGCTTTCTTTCAAGATCTTTAACAGCATCGTGTCGCTCTTGAATTTTGACCAAAGTGTCCATTATCTACAATTTGATACACAATTTTGGACCTGATCAATCTTAATCAAAAAATTAAGTGTTTCAACAACCCAAGCTAGAAGAGTTAGGAGCTTAAAATTAATTGTTCAAGATGTCAAAAAATTTGTCAAGTTTGTGAGAGAATGCACAATTTCGATAGTAAAAAGTGTTTATTTGGGGGTAGAGAATAAAAAAGGAAATTTGACAAACCTGGCCTCCACCTTGTTCTTGGATTGCCATCCAGAAAATATGTTCACTGTATTGTGTGTCGATTAATCTTTCCATTGTCTGTACGATGTTAAATAATTAGAAACTGAGCTTTCACATTGGTATAGATATACCGTAATTTCAACAGTGCAATAAGTTTTACCTCTTCATCAGCTCTTATGCTCGTTACTGACATTCACAAAATGCAAGAGAAATAAACTATAAAATCAGATCATAGAAATTCAAGTAGAAGCTTCAGATATAGCAACCACTGATGAGTGGCAAGCGAGGGATTCAAACCTGTAAAAACTCGCCTCTCGACAACATCACAATACTCTTGATGGATGGTGTCCCTTAGAGTCTGCATGTTTTAAGTTAAAAAGTAACACTATTTTATCGATTAAAATTTGCATGTAACCTCAAAAATATTAAGATTATATGGTATGGAGTCAGACATGGCGAAAAATATATAATTTACAGCAGAAAGATGCTTAGAAGCATCCACTATGAGAACTGGTCTGCCGTTAACATCAAGAAATTCGTGTACATTAGTTTTTTCTGTTTCGGCTATACCCTGCACTCAATCACAGGATTAGGGAAGTACCAAAAAACACTGAAATAGTATGGCCACTGATTCATCCTACTCTCTCTCCCTCTCTAAAGCTTTTGCTCTGATATTTTGACACATGAAACCTGCAATTTTGCGTTCTGGGTAGTTTTTGAACATGAAAAATGAATGCCATATGAAGGTCTTGTGAAGAATTTTGGGTTGTTTTGATTTTGGTTTTGGTTTTTTGTGGGATTGTTAAAATGTCTCAGAATTCTGATACAATGAGAGGAATCCCACCTGGGATTTTGCTGATTAGAAGCATTAGAGGCAAAGACTGGAGTCTTTCTACATATAGATATGTGATTTTGCTTGTTACTTTCATAGCGTATACATGTTACCATGCATCTAGAAAACCCAGTAGTATAGTTATGTGAATTGAAAAAGACCAAAGCATATTTAAGATTATACCAACAAATTATATCCACAAATTATGCAATTGGAGTTTCTGGGTAACTTTAAATTCCCCAAAAAGCAATCTAAAATACCAAAATTTCCTCCGGGAAGAACGGGTGTGGTTCTTGAGATGAGTCAAAGAGTTCCAATACGCGTAATATCAAAGGATTCCTCCGGGTGTGGTTCTTGTGTGGGACGACGACAGTTTCTTTTGCTTCCATCACGCGGATTCTTCTCGCAAAATAGTGGGAAGAAAACTGCTTCTAATGTTTTGTTAATTTATTTTTTTTATGACAAAATTATCCCTGCTATTTTGTTTCTATTATTTTCAGTTAGTTTTGGTTTTTTTTGTTTGAGGGGCTTTATAGTCCCATTCTTTTTGCTGAAGCCTTGAGACACCAAAATTGATTGCTGGCTTTCTAATATTAAAGATATGCTTTGGTCTTTTTCAATTCACATAACTATACTACTGGGTTTTCTAGATGCATGGTAACATGTATACGCTATGAAAGTAACAAGCAAAATCACATATCTATATGTAGAAAGACTCCAGTCTTTGCCTCTAATGCTTCTAATCAGCAAAATCCCAGGTGGGATTCCTCTCATTGTATCAGAATTCTGAGACATTTTAACAATCCCACAAAAAACCAAAACCAAAATCAAAACAACCCAAAATTCTTCACAAGACCTTCATATGGCATTCATTTTTCATGTTCAAAAACTACCCAGAACGCAAAATTGCAGGTTTCATGTGTCAAAATATCAGAGCAAAAGCTTTAGAGAGGGAGAGAGAGTAGGATGAATCAGTGGCCATACTATTTCAGTGTTTTTTGGTACTTCCCTAATCCTGTGATTGAGTGCAGGGTATAGCCGAAACAGAAAAAACTAATGTACACGAATTTCTTGATGTTAACGGCAGACCAGTTCTCATAGTGGATGCTTCTAAGCATCTTTCTGCTGTAAATTATATATTTTTCGCCATGTCTGACTCCATACCATATAATCTTAATATTTTTGAGGTTACATGCAAATTTTAATCGATAAAATAGTGTTACTTTTTAACTTAAAACATGCAGACTCTAAGGGACACCATCCATCAAGAGTATTGTGATGTTGTCGAGAGGCGAGTTTTTACAGGTTTGAATCCCTCGCTTGCCACTCATCAGTGGTTGCTATATCTGAAGCTTCTACTTGAATTTCTATGATCTGATTTTATAGTTTATTTCTCTTGCATTTTGTGAATGTCAGTAACGAGCATAAGAGCTGATGAAGAGGTAAAACTTATTGCACTGTTGAAATTACGGTATATCTATACCAATGTGAAAGCTCAGTTTCTAATTATTTAACATCGTACAGACAATGGAAAGATTAATCGACACACAATACAGTGAACATATTTTCTGGATGGCAATCCAAGAACAAGGTGGAGGCCAGGTTTGTCAAATTTCCTTTTTTATTCTCTACCCCCAAATAAACACTTTTTACTATCGAAATTGTGCATTCTCTCACAAACTTGACAAATTTTTTGACATCTTGAACAATTAATTTTAAGCTCCTAACTCTTCTAGCTTGGGTTGTTGAAACACTTAATTTTTTGATTAAGATTGATCAGGTCCAAAATTGTGTATCAAATTGTAGATAATGGACACTTTGGTCAAAATTCAAGAGCGACACGATGCTGTTAAAGATCTTGAAAGAAAGCTTCTGGATTTACAACATGTATCTTCTTAGTTTGTTCAATGATGTGTACTCTGTGATGGAAATGAAGTTGCTATATAATACAAATGTCTAACATAGGCCTTACTTTTTAGAGTTCACTTTACAATTTGGTTTGCGGTATTGAATATAATAACATTAATCTATTGAATCTTGCTGCCTGGCATTCTGCAAGAAAGTGTAGGATCGGTTAGATCATTAAGTTGTGTCATGACGTGTTAATCTGTGTCCGTCATGTAGCTCATAAGAAAACCAAGCTATGGTCCACTTTTAATGTCACGATTCATTGAGGCCAAGGCCAACCGGGAGAATAGCTGCAAAACTGAAAGGAAAACTTTCCATTTGTGTTTCACCATGGGTATATGATATATGTTAAACACTCACTCTCTCTTATGCACAGATATTTCTCATGTCTTGCTATTTTGTAGATTTTTCTGCAATTTTTTTGGGTTACTAATAGTGTTGGCCTAATTTATTTATCGTTTGTGTGTGACTAATTTACTTTAGAGCTATTAAAAAACAAAAGTTTATATAGTCTCTGAAAAACAAATTTTTCCAGTGGATATAATGTGATCAATTCCTTTGACAAATGCAGGTGTTTGAAAAATTTCAACTCTGCAAGTTGTGAAAAAAAGGGTTTCGAAGTATTGTGCTTTCACGTTTCGTCATCTTTCCATTTCTGTTTCAAGGATTTTTGCACTAAAGGTAAGTGATCTAAAATTAGGGATTTGTTAACATCAAATTTTAAGTATATGTTTTCATTCTATTTTTTAAGTTTGAATAAACTTTGATATTCCTTTTAGCTTTGATTGTGTTTAAATTTAAGTCCTAATTTCGGTGGTTTGTTTATAATTAGTGGATGTCTTTAGTATTTCGTGTAAAACCTTTTGGTAGTTTCTGCATTATCTTCACTTATAATTCTGCTTTATCAGGTTGAAGACTTCTCAAGGGAGCCACAAGTAGAACGTGAACTGATGCTTATCAAACTTAATGCATATCCAAGTATCCCTCCAGAGGTAAAATTTTCGATCATCCAACCAATATTTGGATGATCGTTCAAATATGTTTAAATGATCCACCCCTAAGAATAATCATCAGTAATATGTGGTGCTTCTGTAGACCAACATTTGGTATAAAATTTGTTATCTGTTTCATTTTTTATTATCACAGGTAGTGAAATTAATAGGAATGTTCTTTTCTGTTGTTTTCGATATGCCAGAAATACATTCGGGTGAGAGCGGGTCCAAGAGGTGTTTTCAAATAAAAGTTATCTCCAGTGGTAGGTATATCCTTCTCTTGCTGTTTGCTTTCTACTGGCATAATTGTTACAACAGCATAATGTCAGGTCGAGAAAGAGTCTTGCTCGGTACAACATTTCAACTCTCAATCTTAATCTTTTATACTCAAATCTCAAACTCATTTGTTTTGGTCCTGTCAAGCTTAAATAAGGATTACAAACATGGACTATTAATCGGTAGTGGGTGGTTTGCATTACTAATATCAATTCCCTATCTACATTCTGCTCATTTCTTTTTGGTTAAATAGGCTTTGGTGCATTGAATTAGTGGAGCATTTAAACAGAGATACAAACAGAATTACTGCATTACTAAGGTACTTCCTTCATTTCACTCTTAATTTGTTAGATGGTAGACAATCGCACAACCTGCTTAATATTTACTTTGAATGTTGTCAAAGGCATCACCTTTTTATGCCTACTTTAGAACAAAACTCTAATTAATCTTCACATGAGATAAGACTTTACATTTTTCGTACTTGAGTTATTTCAACATCATCGTGATCAATATTAAACATGTACGTCCAAAACAGAATAGGCTACTTTCCCTGCCAGAGATGAAATAGAAAAGGATGACAAGAATGGTCATCCATTAGGCCCTCAGGAAGGCAATGCAGCCGATGGCCTTTTAAAAACGAGGAGAGAGAGAGAGAGAGAGAGAGAGAGAGAGAGAGAGAGAGAGAGAGAGAGATAAAGGGTATTTTCCCTTTGCCTTATGATTTATGGTTCAACTATATATAATGGATGTAAGCTTAATTTTTTTTTTTTTTATGTTTTCATATTTTTCTTCAATTTTACCTTTATTAAGAATCATCAAATTGAAATTTCAGTTTTAAGATTTTTGGAGGACTACAACATATCAAGTATGGAGGGAATTGATAGAAGCGATATGTCAGAGGTTGTTACCTTATCTGCATTATTCCTCTTTTGTACAGATGATATATTTTTTCTTCTTTTTCAAAAATAAAATAAAATAAAATAAAATTCATTCTGTTTAGCAATTTCTCAATGTAGGTTGGCAATGAAGAAGTTGACTTTGGACAAACAAATGTTCACAATTTTCAACAGTCAGACCCAAGGTATCGTAGGAGTAATCAACAAAGGCAAAATCATAGGAGCAATCAACAAAGACAAAGACGACAATCTATGAATTCATCACAGCGGGCTCGAATTTCAATACGACGACGTGCCAATTATCAAACCTGCTTGAACTCAATCAATATAGTCCAAAATCAAACAGAAGTAAACCAAGAAAACATAGGACCGACATCTGCGGGTAACTATGATTTCTTATTTTTTTGTCTCTATTCAATTCGTATGTTGTATTAACATTTTTGTACAAATTATTAAGACAAATTATTAAGACAAATATAATAAGATTGAACAAATCAGTGATTCTAAGTTGTCATTGCCTTTTTGTACTATCAATGCAAACATCCATTTAATAATTCTGTTATGTCTATAATAATTTCAACATTTGGATTGTATATATTTACCATAGTGACCAACGTTTTAACAAGTACTCCAAACAAGAAAAATAAATAAATAAATAAAAATTAAAAAAATAAATAAAAATAAACAAATAAGGAAAGGAATATTATGTAAACTTGGAATAACAGTTCAACTATAATAGTCAAGAGAAAAATATAAAAATAACATCACATAAAGATATAGTACATCGATACTAAATGGAAAAAATTGTGAAGTTAAACAAAAACATGCAGCACATAATTATACAGATGCAAAATCAAAGGAAGCAAAAAGCACAACCCAAATCAGAGAAATGAAATCATAAATCAATGATTCAGCGCATGAAATTCACTAAATTTTAGTAAACCCTAGATTCAGAGATATTGGCGTTGCATTCATTTTCATCCGAAAACAGCAAGAAGAAAACCACTCTCATCCAAAAAAAATGAGTTTTTCTTTTCTGTGATCAATTAAAATAAACAATACTATTCATCCAAGGTCTGGCATCCAAAACAATCCATAGTTTTTGCTTTTCTGATCACTAAAATCTGCAGAATTTAAAGAGAAAATAGCTCAAAATACAAAACATTCACTTTTTCTTTGTTTTCTTCTTCCTCTGCCACTTATTATGTGACCTAGGCAGTCTCAATCAAACGAAAATAAAAAAAAAACGTAATGTATACCAATGATTCAATTACAAAAACAAAAGGAAAAAAAAAAGACGTATGTAGGTACTTAAATAATATTCTATGCTTACTAATATTTTTCGTGCACCATTACGTTTCTTGGTTTAGAGCAACAAAATGCATATGTTACTGATGAGACACAAAGCCAACGAGAGCAATGGCGGGATCAACAACGTATGAGGCGGAATTCAATGAGTTCAAGCCAAAGACATGAATATTTAGCACGGCGACGATCCAATTATCGTGTTCAACAAATTCAACGCTCAAACATAATGCTATTTGGTGGTGATGCCGATCAAGTTCAACACCCTAACATAGTGCAATTCGATGAAGGCAGTAGCAATCATGTTGAACGACTAAACATAGTGCCGTTTGGAGAAGGCAGCAGCAATCAAGTTCCAAGAACAATGCGCTTAACTCATATAAGGCAAATTGCCCGATCGAATAGGACACGCTTGCCTCGGGATGGACTAATACAAAGTTTCACTAATAATGGTAATCGCACAAACTACCATAGTACAACTTTGAAAAAGATAAACATCAATATCATCATTTCTGTAAACACTACTTATTACCTTACTTCCATTTCATTTGATTATAACAGAAAATACAACAGCGCAATCGTTCAGTTCGAATACTCCAATGAGTCATTGTTATCTGCCCATCATCAATGAAGGTATTAGCTTTTGAATATTAATACCTACAATTTCAACTATGCTCTCTAAATCATGAAACACCTTTAATGTTTCCTTTTTAAGCAGATGCTTTTAATCTCATTAATGAAAATGAGATCCAGCCTAACGAGGACGTACCACCTCGACATCATACTATGGGAAGAAGGCCAATTCATAATTGTGCTAGAAACTTTAATGAAAACATGGAAATCCCAAGATTTCACATGCCAAATCCAACCACATGTCCAGATTGTCATGCCCGTTTGTTCTCTCATGAAACATCTGAAATGTGTTGCTTACGTGGAAAGCTTGCTCTACCATTGGCACCGTCCCCTCCTGAAATGACTGAGCTTTTTTGCAACCAATCTGCCGAGGGAAGACATTTTAGGCAGAATATACGAGCTTACAACCACATTTTTGCCTTCACTTCAATGGGAGTTCATGTTGACGAAAACCTAGCAACTGGAAGACGTGGTATTTACACATTTCGTGCTCAAGGTTCCATATATCATAAGATTGGAAGTCTTTTGCCTATTAGAGATAGTAGACCGAGATTCCTACAAATGTATATATGACACAGCTCATGAAATAGACAATCGAATGAGAGAAAGTGAAGCACTAAACAGAGGTGTGGTTGAAAAAATCCAACAAATCTTGAATCAATATAATCCATTTGTGCAAACATTTCACCACCTTGCGCAACGTCAAGATTTGCAAAGTTGTAGATTGATTATCAAAGAGCAGCCCGCGAATCAACGACAATATTGTTTACCATCTGCATCTCAGGTTGCTGCAATCATAGTAGGTGGTGAAGGATCAGAAAACATTAGAGGTCGAGATATTGTTGTGCAAACTACAGATGGTCAACTTAAGAGTATCAAAGACTGTGTCGGCTACTATGACCCTTTACAATATCCATTGTTGTTACCTTATGGAACATATGGATGGGATGTGAATACTCGAAATAACAACAGCAGAAAAGTGACATGTTGTGACTATTATTCGTATCTTCTTCAGGTAACCTAAGACCTTCATCTCTATGAATACAATATTAATTTTTAAAACTTATATTGTGTTGAACAATGAATTTTATCATTTTAGATCCGTCAACATGACGAATCGCTTCTACTTCGTGGTGGCCGCCTATTGCAACAATATGTAGTTGATAACTACGTCAAGATCGAATCACAAAAGCTTAGATGGATGCGTAATAATCAACACACAATTCGATCTGAATTTTATCGAGGACTGCAAGACTCATTAATTGCAGAACAAAATAATGCAGGTATGAAGCTAATCAGTTTATAATAAAACATATATTCTTTAAGTTCATGTTCTGTCACATTAAATGAGACTTATTAAAGGGTTGAAACAAAATAACATATTTAGATTTATTAACGACTTATAACAAAACAAATACAGGAGACGTCGGTCGTCGTAGGACTATATTACCATCATCTTTTGTTGGTAGTCCCCGAGACATGTATCAAAGGTATCAAGATGCAATGACTTTGGTTCAAAAATATGGAAGACCAGACATTTTCCTAACAATGACATGTAATCCAACTTGGGAAGAAATAAGTGATGAGCTACTACCTGGCCAAACACCACAAGATCGACCAGATTTGCTTACAAGGGTTTTCCGTGCAAAATTTGAAGAGTTGAAGAATGATGTTATAAAAAAAGGTGTTTTAGGCAAAGTTCTTGCATATGTATATGTCATTGAGTTTCAAAAGCGCGGTCTCCCCCATGTTCACATGCTTCTCATGTTAGAAGAAAATGATAAGCTTAATAGTCCAGATGATTATGATCAAGTGGTACGGGCTGAAAAACCAAATCCAAATGAAGAGCCTGAATTGTATGGTGCCGTCTTAAGGCATATGATACATGGTCCATGTGGAATACACAATTCACGATCAACCTGTATGAAACGTGGTAGCTGTAAACGAAATTATCCTAAGCCATTTGCACCAACTACAGTTCAAGGAAATGATTCTTATCCAGTCTATCGTAGAAGAGACAATTATGATCCAATCCCATTAGATCATAATGCACGTATAATGGTGGATAATCGGTGGGTCATTCCGTACAACTCATGGCTACTCCTCAGATATGATTGTCATATTAATGTTGAGATTTGTTGCAGCATTAAGAGTGTTAAGTATCTGTACAAATACGTTTACAAAGGTCCCGACCGAGTAGCTTTTGAAGTCCATCATGAACCTATTCAAGATGAAATAAAGCAGTTTGTTGATGCAAGATGGGTTTGTGCACCTGAAGCTTTATGGAGAATATTCAAATTTGTAACTAATCGACTTTATCCATCGGTGGAACGATTACAAATTCATCTTCCTGAAGGACAAACTATTCATTTTTACCCTCACCAAAGAGTAGCAGATATTTTGGCAGATGACACTAACTCGATGATTATGCTGACAGAGTTTTTTACCAAGAATACCACTTGCCCGGAAGCAAGACAATACTTATACCGGGAATTCCCTGAACGGTTCAAATGGAGTCAAAGAGATAAACTCTGGAGTGAGAGGATGAATAACCATAAAGTTATTGGCCGGATATATGCAGTCTCGCCGAATGAGGGTGAAAAATTCTACTTACGCATCCTTCTTAATCATGTTAGAGGACCAACATCATTTGAGAACTTAAGAACAGTCAATGACATTGTACAACCAACATTTAAAAAGGCAGTGGAACAACGAGGTTTGCTAGAAGGTGATGATAGCATCAGACAGTGTCTCTGTGAAGCCACTAACATTCGCATGCCGTCAGCTTTGCGAAGGTTGTTTGTTACCATCTTAGTTTATTGTGAGCCACATGGAGTAAGAAGATTATGGGATGAATTTCATTCATTTATGGTGGAAGATTATTCTGTTTCAAGTACCACAAATAATACTTCTATCTTGAACAAGCTTTTGCAAGACTTGAACGGACTATTAGTGCAACATAGTAAGTCTGTATCTGATTACGATTTACCACAAATAACACAAGATTGTGTTAGAGACAACACAATTCCAAGGATAATACAAGATGAAGTTTCACTTGACATCTCTGAAGCAGACCTCAATGCGGTACAAAATTTAAATGAAGACCAAATGACAGCGTATAACTCGATTGTGTCTGCTATTGAACAACGAGACAATGCCATATTTTTTGTGGATGGTCCCGGAGGGACAGGAAAGACATACTTATATCGTGTTTTGTTAGCAACCTTAAGGAGTAAGGGTCATATTATATTGGCAACAGCAACATCTGGAATTGCAGCAACCATATTACCAGGTGGAAGGACAGCACACTCTAGATTTAAAATTCCCCTCAGTCCAGATGCATCTTCCACATGTTCTATTAGTATCCAGTCAGATTTGGCAGAATTGATAAGAA